AAACCTTTACCTTTACTATAATGCTCTAAAGTACAATTTCACTGTATGTTAGAGTGAAACAAAAAGTGTACAATGGTTATCTTTCCATAGTCTGCAGTTGTCCACAGAATGCACTTGAATTAGTGCTTACTGAAAGCCTGCCATTTTGCCTAGATATTGGCTCACACAGCTGCCAAAACAAATCTTGTTTAGTACAGAACCAGGCATTTCTTGAATAGAATAGCCAGTACAGAGGTTATGTGTGGATGAGTACAAACAATTCTTTTTTCCGCCAGGAGCCAAAGACACTAACATCACAATCAAGAAGTACACAAGTGACACTGTGAAAGTATTGTTCTTAAGAAAGACCTGCAATAAATTTTAACTGCTGGCTTTCTCACTCACTTTTGTAAACGCAACCCAACAGGAACTGCTATTCTCCCCAATGGGAAAGGAGGGGGATTGGATGACGGTGATGACATTTACGAAACTAAGCAACGAGGTACAGCTTTATTTAAGTCAGAACTAAATGGAGTGTGGACTTGGGAGTCTGTGAAAAACAAAAATAATGTGAGAAAAGTTTCACAATTTGCAGCTACATCCCTGAAACCTAAGAAGGGAGCAAGGGACAGTCCTTCCCTTCGTGTTATATTTCATAATAATGCAAACTCTGAAAGATCTCTCCCCTAATGAACCTCCTGACTTATCTACCAGCGTAGAAGCAAACGTTGAGAAAACACAGGCGGCTTTCATATACAAAGTGTTCCTGGAACATTCCACTAAACCAAAATGTGTTTACAGAAGAAAATCAGTGAGCTTGGATTTCTTCAAGACTAAAATTTGGTGACATAAGGGCAATGCTGCTGCTGCTACACACAAGCAAGACTTAGACCAATAAAACACCACGTCCTCTGCTGCTGAGGATCAAAGCAGGCAGAACATGGGACCCAGATGTCTTCAATTTCTGTCCTTGGTTTCTACAGTTCATACTTCATGTGGAAAGGGGAAAAAAGAACTCTAAATAAACCGATGTTACTCATTCCTTCCAACTATGTCAACGAACAGTTTCGCAACAGCTCAGACTGAAGAGGTTTTGTGTGTCGCCATCACCCATACATAAGGTGCATCTCTACACTATGGAATGAATGCAGTTTGACACTACTTTACCTGCCATGACTAAATGCAATGGAATCCAGGGATCTGTAGTTTGGTGAGGCATATAATACTATTTTAACTCCCAAGATTCCACAGCATTGAGCCATGGCATTCAAAGTGGTGTCAAACTTTTACTTTTCGTGTCAGGAGTGTCAAGAGCGACTTGAGAAACTGGAAGTCGCAACTGACTGTCTGCAAGGACATTGCCCAGAGGATGCACAGATGTTTTGATGGTTTACCATCCTTGTGGGCGGCTTATCTCATGTCTCTGCCTGGGGAGCTGGAGCTGACAGAGGGAGCTCATCCACGCTCTCCCCAGATTCAAACCTTCAACCTGTCGGTCTTCAGTCCTGAAGTCACAAGGGTTTAACCCATTGCGCCACCGGGGGCTCCTGGTGTCAAACTGTATTCATTCTACAGTCTAGATCAGGCATGGGCAAACTTTGGCCCTCTGGGTGTTTTGGGCTTCAACTCCCACAATTCCTAACAGCCTACCGGCTGTTAGGAATTGTGGGAGTTGAAGTCCAAAACACCCAGAGGGCCAAAGTTTGCCCAAGACTGGCCCACGTGCACCCATATACATGGTGTGTGCTTTGTTAAAGGAGATCCTGTGGAGGAGAGTAACAGCAGGATGCTGAGAGGTTGTGGTTGCCAGGTAGGTTTTTGTGTGTGTTTGTTTTAAAGTTTTATGCCTCAATGATCCACTGCTGTCACCAGCTGGCAGATGTTAAAGCCTGGCATGAGGAAAGTGAAGGAAACAAGAGAAGCCACGCTGCTTCCCTGCTGTTGTCCCAAAGCTGCCCTGCCCCTCTCTGCTTTCAGGCTGATCAACTGCAAGGGTGCCAAATGTCCCCCTTCGAATGCAGAAAGAAAGAAAAGGGGAGCACGTCTGAAAGGCATCCTACTTTTCTCTTTGCCAGGCTGGAAGGCGCCCAGGGAAGAGGAAAGAACAAAATGGTCAAAGGTCTGGCAGCTGAGTCCTATGAGGAGCGGCAACTTGGGAGAATTGAAGGCAGAGAGGGCAAATGATAGGAATGTTTAAGTATTTGAAGGGATGTCAAATTGAGGAAGGGGACAAGCTTGCTTTCTGCTGCTCTAGAGCCCTCCAGGCGTTTTGGTCTCCAACTCCCACAATTTCTAACAGCTGTTGGGAATTGTGTGAGTTGAAGTCCAAAACACCTGGAGGGCCAAAGTTCGCCCATGCCTGGAGAAATGGATTCAAATGGCAGGAAAAGAAATTCCATGTAAACATTTGGGGGAAAAACTTCCTGACTGTAAGAACAGTTCAACATGCAGCTTCAGAATGTGGTGGAATCTCCTTCTCTGGAGGTTTTAAAGCAGAGGCTGGATGACCATCTGCCAGGAGTGCTTTGATTGTATCTTCCTGAATGGCAGAATGGGGTTGGACTGGATGGCGACTCAAGGATCCCTTCCAACTAGGAAGTACCTGGAGACGAGGACCTGGAGCGATGGATTTAAATGTCAGGAAAAGAAATTCCATGTAAACATCTGGAAAATGGTACGAGCAGTTCAATATGCAGCTTCAGAGTGTGGTGGAATCTCCTTCTCAGGAGGTTTTTAATCAGAGGCTGAATGGCCATCTATCAGGAGAGCTTTGATTGTATCTTCCTGCACGGCAGAATGGGGTTGGACTGGATGGCTCTTGTGGGGATCCCTTCCAATTACAGGATTCTATTACTCTAGACCAGGCATGGGCAAACTTGGGCCCTCCAGATTTAAGCGGCTAAGGGGGAAAAGGAAATGGCCCGAGACTGTTAGGAATCGTGGGAGTTGCCAAAACCCCTGAAGGGCCAAAGTTTGGCCATGCCTGGTCTAGAGACTAAGACCTGGAGTAATGGATTTAGATGGCAGGAAAGGAGATTCCATGTAGAGCAGTTCGATATGCAGCTTCAGAGTGTAGTGGAATCTCCTTCTGTGGAGGTTTTTAAGCAGAGGCTGGGTGGCCATCTGTCAGGAGTGCTTTGATCATGTCTTCCTGCATGGCAGAATGAGATTAGACTGGATGTCCCCCTGGGGATCCCTTAAGCAGCTGAGGGGGAAAAGGAAGGGGCCTGAGGTTGTTAGGAAAGGTGGGAGTTGAAGCCCAAAACACCTGGAGGGAGGGCCCAAGTTTGCCCATGCCTGGTATAGAGTCACATAATCCTGGAGTTGAAAGAGATTTCCATGGGCCATCCGGTCCAACCCCATTCTGCCATGCAGAAACGCACAATCAAAGCACTCCTGTCAGATGGCCAATCCAGCCTCTGCTTAACAACCTCCGGAGAAGGAGATTCCACCATAATATGAAGCTGCATATCAAACTGCTATAAGTCTTTCCCTCCGAATGTTTACATGGAGTTTCCTTTCCCACCATTCAATCCATTGCTCCTGGTCCCAGTCTCTAGATCAGGCCTGGGCAAACTTGAGTCCTCCCTCCTGGTGTTTTGGACTTCAACTCCCACAATTCCTAAGTAGCTGAGAGGGAAAAGGAAGGGTCCTGAGGCTGTTAGGAATGGTGGGAGTTGAAGTCCAAAATATCAGAAAGGAGGGCCGCAGTTTGCTCATGCCCTCTCTTCCAGTGTTTTGGACTTCAACTCCCACAATTCTTAAACACCTGAGGGAGAAATGGAAGGGTCCTGAGGCTGTCAGGAATTGTGCCAGTTGAAGCCCAAAACATCAGGAGGGAGGACTGAAATTTGCTCATGCCCTCCTTCCAGGTGTTTTTGACTTCAACTCCCACAATTCCTAAGCAGCTGAGGGGGAAAAGGAAGGGTTCTGAGGCTGTCAGGAATGGTGTGAGTTGAAGCCCAAAACACCTGGAGGGAGGGCCAAAGTTTGCTCATGCCCTCCCTCCAGGTGTTTTGGACTTCAACTCCCACCATTCCTAAGCAGCTGAGGGGGAAAGGAAGGGCCCTGAGGCTGTTAGGAATGGTGGGAGTTGAAGCCCAAAACATCAGGAGGGATGGCTGAAGTTTGCCCAGGCTTGCTCTCTCCCAAGTTTGGGGAGAACTTGACTCCCATTCACCCAAAGGAGCAAGAGAGAGGGGCATGCCTGTGCCTCTTTGGCTCATCCTGTGGCAAGTCAACTTCCTCTTTCCCCCTTTTTTCCGGAGCCACCCTCAGAGGCGCCGCTGAGCAAAGCAAAAAAATTCCCCAGCCGAGCTAACTTTGCCCAGACAGAGTCCTTGGAAAGGAAAGGAAAGGAAAGGAAAGGAAAGGAAAGGAAAGGAAGAGGGGGGAAGAAGGGAGGAAGCCCAGGGCTGTGCAACCTCCTCGAGACCGCCTTCAAGCCGCGGCCAGCAGCACAGGCAACTTGCGGAAAGTTTTCTTTTGTAGGGTTCACACAAAGCTAGAGATCCTTATCTTCCCCGGAGTTCCACTTTACAAACGCGGGGGCTCCTTCCTTTCCTTCCTTCCCTCCCAGCCTTGAACTTCCCCCTTCTCTCCCAGGCGCCTTCTTCTCCTTTTTCATTTCACCGTTACTCCTTGGATTCCACAATAGTTTAAAGTAGTGCCAAACTGCATTCAATCCTCAGTGTAGCAGATGCCAAGGGGAAACCTTTACCTATCTATCCTAGCAGTCCTAGTTCTGCAAAAAAGAGTGCCTCGTCGAACTATAACTCCCGGGGTTCCGACTTAACCCGAGGGTCCGAAAAGAAAAGCCATTGAGAACAGAATGACAACAACAATCTCATCTATTGGAACTAACGGGAGCTCTACGCGTCTTGAGACTAGTGTCTCGCGAAACTACAAATTCCCCACCAGATTCCGAATTATCCCGAAGTCCCAGCAAGCGAGTTGTTGAAGAACAGGACGAGGATGATGCCTGATCACCCGAAGCGGCTTTGGCCGGGGTCGCTGCTTACCTGTGAACGTCTCTGCTCGGGCTGCCAGCAAAAGTCCAGCCAAAGTCAGGAGCCAAGTTGCAACTTTCCCCATATTCCTTTCCCTCGGGAGGGAAAAAGCCCCGCTCCGCCGGCCCTCCGGGGGAAAGAGAGGGCGGGAAAGGGGGCGCCTCCAAGGGGACCCCCTCCAAGGGGAAGGAAAAAGAAGGGAAGCTCCTCCGGCTTCTGCTGCTCCTCCTCGCTGTAACTCCGGGGGAAACAAGACGGCGCTGGCTGCCTCGCTCCCTGTTGCGCTCCCCGAGCCCCGCGCAGCCTCCGCCTGGCTCCTCTCCCTCGGCTCGGCTCCCTCTCTCCCTCTCCCGCCCTCTCCCTCTCTCTCTCTCTCGCCCTGGAGAGTCCCCTCGCAGCGAGGATGGAAGTCAGGCGGGCGAAGCAAGCGCGGAGAGGAGCGGGAGAGCAGCCCAGAGAGAGAGAGAGCGGAGAGCGGCTGCCAAGTCACGCCCAGCCGGAGAACACGGCGCCTGCCTGCCGCCTTTCCCCCGCTAGAGGGCCGCCTCCCGCTCCTCGCCCTGGGCTTCTTTCCTCCCTTCGCTATGCCTCCCGGCTCAGCCAGACCAAGACTGACTCCCTTTGCAGAAAAAGGCCGGCAACGCGGAGGAAGAAGCAGTCAAGCAGCAGCCCGCGCGCTGGAAAAACCTCCTCTCATGTCCACATTCCCGCACAGAAGCCTTCTTAGGGGTTCACACAAAGCTAGAGATCCTAATCCAAAACGGAGCCCATTAGAAGCGGGAAGTTGATATAGCTAGTGATACAGCAGCCAAGGTTGAGCAACTGAGGCTGCATCTACACTGCCCTCTAATCCAGTTTCTGAATCCAGCTCGAAATGGATTGCACGATTTTTTTTTAGTTCCTATATATACAAGTCGTTTTCCTAATTGGTTCTCTCATTTAAAAAAACAACAACACGGGGAAAGTTTATCAAATTGAAAAAAAGTTTTGTTCTGGCTGGGCATTCTTCTGCAGCACATTTAGCTATAGGTAAAGGTAAAGGTTTCCCCCTGACATTAAGTCCAGTTGTGTCCAACTCTAGGGGTTGGTGCTCATCTCCATTTCTAAGCCGAAGAGCCTGCGTTGTCCGGACACCTCCAAGGTTATGTGGCCAGTGGGCTCTGCCTTATTCAGGTAGAGATGAACCAAACAAATACCCAGTTTGTATCAGGTAGTTTAATTAAAACAGCACCTACTTTCTGACAGTTTTAATAGTCCAAAATATAAAACATAAAGATTGCACTCAGCCACAGAATATAAAACAAAAACAGCAAACACCGTTGCAGGTTCAAGATAACTCCATAGTCAAAAGGTCCAGTCCGGTGGTCAAACGCCTAGAGTTCAATAAACAAAGTCCAGCAATCAAGAGCCTATACCAGGGGTCCTCAAACTAAGGTCCGGGACCCAATACAGCCCTCCAAGTTCATTTACCTGGCCTTCGCTCAGGGTCAACCTAAGTCTGAAATGACTTGAAAGCACACAGCAACAACAACAATCCTATCTCATCAGCCAAAAGCAGGCCCACACTTCCCATTGAAATACTAATAAGTTTATATTTATTTTAATTATTGTATTGTTTTTAAGTGTTTTTTGCACTACAAATAAGATATGTGCAATGTGCATAGGAATTTATTCTTTTTTCCCCCTTCAGATTATAATCAGGCCCTCCAACAATTTGAGGGACTGTGACCTGGCCCTCTGTTTTAAATGTTCGAGGACCCCTGGTCTATACAGTAGTCAAAAGCCAGTCCAAAGATCCAGGGTTCCAGGATTCCAAAGGTTCAGGAGACAGGTCAGGACACTGAAAATCCACAAACCTGGGAGAAAACCAGCAGCATTTACCACCAAGATAAGACAAATACTTTTCTCCCAAAGATCAGTCCCAAAGCTAGCTCCTTATATCCAGAAACACCCAGCTGCAACCCATGTCTTGCATACCTCCACTCTTAATTGCTTTCACCCATGAACTCTTACTTACAGATTACTCAACCCTTTAGAACTAAGACTTACATTAACCCTTCCATCACCAACTGCTAGGCCTACCACCACCAACCAACATCAACTGCAAAACATGATACATGACAGCCAGTATGACTACATGGAGCGCCGTTACCTTCCTGCCTTACCTTCCCCACCTTCAAGGTCATGTGGCTGGCATGATTACATGGAGCGTCATTACCTTCCCGACCTCCAATGTCATGTGGCCGGCATGACCTCATGGAGCACCATTACCTTCCTGACCTCCAAGGTCATGTGGCTGGCATAACTACATGGAGCGCCATTACCTTCCCGCCTTACCTTCCCATCAGAGTGGTACCTCTTGATCTACTCACATTTGCATGCTTTCGAACTGCTAGGTTGGCAGAAGCAGGGGCTGACAGTGGAAGCTCATGCCACTCCCTGGGTTCGAACCTGCGACCTTTCGGTCAACAAGCTGAACAGCTCAGTGGTTTAACCCACTGCGCCACTGAGGGCACCACATTTGGCTATCGTTTTTCTCAATATCTCCATGGAGTCTCAACTAATTCAACCTCTGAACCAGGCCTGGGCAAACTTTGGCCCTCCCTCCAAGTGTTTTGGACTTCAACTCCCACCAACAAGGAACAATATATTATAGACAGTATGATGGCAGGATAGGGAAGGAAATAGAATGCAAAGGGAAGCCCTGGTGACCAGGTCACATCAGAAAGGTTGTCATTTATGGTCTCCTCTACTTCCTTTGGAAGGTGGGCTGCTTAACAGCAGGAGGAGAGGATGGGTTGGAACAGGAGACAGGTTCAAAGGGCTTGGGGATGACCCATAAAGCCCTACACAGCTTAGATTCAGGCTATCTGGAGACATTGAAGAATTGCACCCTCCAAACACTCCAGTTTGGCAGGGACAACCCCAATTAACTCTTTCTCACCCTCACATTTTCAGCGGCTTTGAAAATGTCAAAGTAATTCTCTTCCTGCTTCATGGAATCTCATCCAATTCAGCCTCTGAACCAATTTAGCCTCAACCAATTCAACCTGCTTCATAGAATCTCAACCAATTCAACCTCTAAGCCAGGAGGCATGGGCAAACATGGGCCCTCCAGGGGTTTTGGACTTCAACTCTTACTATTCCTAACAGCCCCAGGCCCCTTCCTTTCTTTCCGCTTCAGAGGTTGAGGGGGAAAAGGAAAGGGCCTGAGGCTGTTAGGAATGGTGGGAGTTCAAGCCCAAAACACCCGGAGGGAGGGCCCAAGTTTGCCCATGCCTGATCTACATTGCCATATTATCCATTTACTCTGCATTCTGAAACTGCATTATATGGCAGCGTAGGTGGGGCCTCCCTCAGAAGGGCAGCATCTAAATAAGAGGCAGAGGAAAAACCTAATAAAATAATAGCCTGCTCTAAGTGATCCCAATTTCAGAGTATGTAAGAAGAAGCCCTCACAGCTGCAAAACACAGGCCGAAAAGCAGCCAATTAGGAGTGGGAAGGAAACACTAATGAAATAGCATCCTGCCCTAAGTAACTGAGGCAGTTTCAGAATAAGAAGTCCGCATTCACTCAAAACCACAGAATAGTGGGAGAAAGGAGCCAATTAGGAACCGAATTGGAAAAGCTACTGAAATAGCAGCGCCCTCTGAGTCACTGAGGCCATCCCAAATTCTGAAGAAGAAGAAGAAGAAGTCCACGTTCCCTCAGAACCACAGAATACAAATTTGGCTCCATCTGTCCAGTCATTATAATGCTAATTGAACTGCATTATATGGCCAGAGTAGACTCATATAAACCAACTCAATGCAGTTAAACTGCACTATATTTATTTATTTATTATCATATTTACACCCCACCTTTGACTTACGCAACTTACAAGAGCGGCAATGATTCAATGCCTTAAAACACATACAATTCCAAAATATTTAAATTAAAAATTGAGTTAAAATTAATACATGTTACATAATTAAAAACATTCCATTTCATATTAAAATCACGCCATCCATAATCATAGTCCAGGTGGTTCCATAGTCATTGCATATATTCCAAATCTGTTATTGCACTGCACTATTCTCCGGTGCCCCTGGTGGCACAGTGGGTTAAAACGCTGAGCTGCTGAACTTGCTGACCGAAAGGTCACAGGTTTTATTCCAGGCAGCAGGATGGGCTCCTGCTGTTAGCTCCAGCTTTTCCTAACCTAGCAGTTTGAAAATATGCAAATGTGAGTAGATCAATAGGTACCGCTCCGACGGGAAGGTAACAGTGCTCCATGAAGTCATGCTGGCCACAAAATCTTGGAGTTGTCTATGGACCATGCTGGCTCTTCGGCTTAGAAATTGAGATGAGCACCAACCCCCAGAATTGGCCACAAGTGGACTTACTGGCAGGGGAAAACCTTTACCTTTTATTCTCCTAAAGCCTGATCCCACATCCAAGGTTTTACTTTTCTTCTGAAGGCTAGGAGGGAGGGGGCTGATCTAGTGTCTCTGGGGAGGGAGTTCCATAGTCGAGGGGCCACCAATGAGAATGGCCTATCCCTTGTCCCTACCAACCGCACCTGCGAAGGAGATGGGACCAAGAGCAGGACCTCCCCAGACAATCTTAATTTCCGAAGTGGTTCATAGGAGGAGATACATTCGGGCAGGTAAGCTGAACTGGAACCATTTAGGACTGTATAGGCTAAAGCCAGCACCTTGAATTGTGCTCAAAAGCAGACTTGCAGCCAGTGGAGCTGAAATAACGAGAGTTATTTTAAAGATTTTTTCCTACTCCAAATGGTTAGTAATACTTGATAACTTGTTAAACCGCTTGTAACTTTTTGTGTAATTGTAATATGTTGCCATCGTGAAACATATAACGTTGAAATTTGGTCCATCATTTTGAAACACCCTGTACATTGAACCCTCACAGGGCAAAAGTGTCGCTCTCTTGGCCATAGTTTTGAATCACTTCGGACAAGGGAGCCTGAACCTGTACAAAATGTCTTCCATGAACTTCTCATCCTCTCCTACAGCCCTTTGTGAGGGCATGTAACTTTCCCAAGCAACTAGTATTTTGTTAGTTTTCCCCTCCTCCTCCTCCTCCTCCTCCTCCTCCTCCTCCATACAACCTGGAAATAAGCCACACCATTCAGAAGCAAAGACAGTGAAAAGTCAACAGGAGATAAGTAAACCAATGTGATTTTTTCCCCCACTACCACTACCTGTTGAAGTTTTCAGCCAATATGGAATAAGTTTATTTCCTCTTCCAAATGGGAAGTATTGAAAACTGGATTATAGGACTGTCCTTTAATTTCACAATGCCAGTGACCAGAAAAACATCCTTACAATCCTTGAACTAGCCTTGTCCTCTGGACAAGACCAGATAAATTTAAATTGAATCAACATGAAACCCAGACACTTTAACATACCTGCATGCAAGAGCTTGTTGTATTGTTTATCTTTGGGGGTCAAGCTACAAGTTACATTGAGCACTCAACAGGCCCTTAATGCCACTG